ATAATAATCGATGGTTAGAGACCTTGAATAACATGGCTCAAAACCGTGTGCAATGGCGCAGGTGCATCCATTCTTTGTGTTCTCTGAAATTCTAACCTTTTGAGTTCCCCCCCATCACCTTTATCTTTTTCTTTTTAAGTTTATTTCACTAGATTATACTTCTTGAATAGTATCCTCGAACCCTAATTCCTCCGATTACTGCTAATACTTCTACTACCACTACTACTATGGGATTTGAAGTGACATTCGCATCTCTGTGTTAATGTGGTGTGGCAACTTGAACTGATGTACGTACGTACGAAGTTCTACGTTGATGTTGACTGACTGATAAAGCTACATTTATTACAAGTGCATACAAAGCGGTATATATATATATACATCAAATCAATGATTAACCTGATTTTCAAAAGATAACTAATTTTGTCACTTACTTGTAAACGATAAAATTCAACAATTTCACCTTCTTTCAAAAATGATAACATTTCATCAGTTGGATTCCATAAAGTAATCGAAGCACCTGAAATTTATTTAAATCACATATGACATTAAAATAAACTTCAATAACTATATCCCCGAATGCTATTATACAGCGACCAGATTTTAGGTGAAATATTCATTACATAAATGAATACTAATTGATATCACAGAAGATTGTATTCTAGTCAAAATATACTGTACAACATTGATTGAGTGGGATTACTAGAGCCCAATTACAATGTTGTTACAATCTGTAAAACACCAACAAAATTATTACAAAGTGATTATTTGTAATCTGGAGGTAGTAGTCGTATCAAGTTACAAGTCTGCATTACCATATTATTGACATTACGCATGTGCAGATATATGCATTGAATAATTTTATGCTGTAGGAGGTAGTATTTGTTTGTATTAGAGGTGCAGGATGATGAAGGAATGTGAGAAGGGTTAGTCACTGATAAGTGGACTGAGTCATGTTGGTAGGTGTCAACTAACTGGTTGGTGGCCGCGAGACGAGAGTAACCGATGGTTAGAGACCTTGAACAACATAGCTCAAAATTATTTGCAATGGCTTAAGCGCATTCATTCTTTGTGTTCTCTCAAATCTTAAACTTCTTAATTCCTCATCACTATCTTTTTCCTTTTAGGTTAATTTCACTACATTCTACTTATTTAATAATACCGCCGAGTCCTCGACGGTATAATAATATAATACCGTCCAAATATTCATGTGTCACACAAATCAGTGAATATGTGAATGGGTTGGGATGCTGCTTAAGTGCCATAATCGAAGCAGGTGGTTTTCTAAGAGGGTCACTTCTTGAGCCTTTGACTCAAACACCTAATCTACATGGTAGTGGAGCAACGTAATCAAACGTAGTTGCATGGTAATCAGTGACCAACAATAGGTTTAAGCACTATTAGTTCCATCAGGATCCGAGAACCTATGTGCACCTCTGGTTTAGAATCAGGTTTTTCCAGGTTTCCTAGGTAGATGCTTCGCATCAACTCGGTTAATGCGCTGGACAATCACGTTTTGTGTTCTCGGTTTCACAAACAACAACTCTCAGCTGTACCAGGGCATCTCAAACGGCTTTGTTCAACGAATCGACAAAACGAGTAATGCATTAAAATGATAATTTGATGGTTTACAGATATTTTTAATGCCCGACTATTCCGATGTAACATGGATGATACTTGTCCTTGTTGATACGATGATGGTGTTCAAGACCAGCATTTCCCCGACATCCAGGATGCTTGCGGTGTTTACCTACTCCCCCATGACCATGACTCACGTGACCACGCAACTTCCTTGTCTTTTTGGCCTTGATATAAGACATCTCCCCCGATTCCGACTACGATGGTGTGTAGCGCACCCTAAACAACAATGCTAGCACGTTCGGGATGCGGTTTTCCCTCTCGAAATGCAAAATTTTGCTTCAATATTGGCTTGCGTCGGAAACTGAAGTAGTGATAGGGAGTAAAGCGATTGAGCGTGTTGACCGCTCCACGTATCTGGGAAGTCTCATAAGTGCTGATGGCCTGGTGTGTGACGAAATGTCAGCACGGATACACAAAGCTCGATTGGCTTTTGCCATCCTGCGTCATTTATGGCGAAGATGAGATAACCGTTTGCTGACTAAAGGACGAGTGTACTGTGCAGTAGTTCGCACCGTCCTACCTAATGGCTGTGAAACATGGCCAGTGAGAGTAGAAGATATTCGTAAGCTACTGGTTTTCGATCATAGGTGTCTCCGAAGCACTGCTCGTGCATCGCGGGACAACCGAGTAAGCAATACTGTCGTTAGGAAACGGGTGCTAGGTAAGGATGGAAGGTCAATAGCTAAAGTATTGAAACTTCATAAGTTGAGGTGGTTAACTGTTATTTGCACCTTTCATTAAGATTGATAATCGCATCATTATTGTCTTACCAAATGTATGGAGCTACGATCTAATGATTTCACTTTACATTTATTTCACTAGATTCTACTTATTGAATAATATCTTTGAATCCTAATCTCTCCGATTACTGCTAATACTTCTACTACTTCTACTACTACTATGGGATTTGAATTGACAATTATATCTCTGTGCTTATGTGATATGGCAACATGAATTGATGTACGTATGTACGAAGTTCTACGTAGCTATTGATTGGTTGATTGATTAATGCCTGATATCAAATGAAATTTTTAAATTTGTCATGAAAATACACTTATTTCTCACTATACTAGCATTATTAATCAGAACTGTAATAAACTTTTCGAATTCTTTTTCTCTTTCTCTATTTTTTAAAAAAAATGATCAAACTAGCGTCAGAGAGTTATCGAGAATAGTTAGAAATTTTATTGGGTAATTTAGTCAGATTTTCACATTTTTTTTAAACAAAATTTTTACGTGACAATTATATTACCTGAATAAATATTTATCACATAATATAGGATACAATAAATTAACACTTAGAATATTAACTCACCATAATTGCTAGCAATATCTCTGGGATGAATTCCTGAAACTCTTAAACGCAACAGAGGAGTAACCTTTTTGAAAAGGAAAGATAAACAACAAAATGGATATCATTTGGCCAAATCAAAATTGGGGCACAGTTTTGGAGGTTTGCGTTTTTACACATTTGAAATCATTAATCAATCATCATTGTTAGACCACCATTAGAAGAAACCTGGAAGCACTGAAAGACGGCCGTTTCGTCCTAGTATGGGACTCCTCAGCAGTGCGCATCCACGACTCCTGCTCCTCGCGGGATTCGAACCCGGGACCTTTGGCATTGTAGGCGAACGCCTTACCATCGGACCACTGGGCCGGCATCCAACGGTGTTAATGTCTAACTCTGATTGATCTAGGGATTTTGCGCGACCTCACCCATTTGTCTTTGCTAGTTACTGCCTACACGAATCCTGCGAGGAGCAGGAGTCGTGGATGCGCACTGCTGAGGAGTCCCATACTAGGACGAAACGGCCGTCTTTCAGTGCTTTCAGGTTTCTAATGGTGGTCTAACAATGATGATTGATTAATGATTTCAAATGTGTAAAAATCAAAATTATCTTTCATAAATTTAACAAATAACAATATTATACCTCAAAAAAGAAAACAGCAATAAACTAAGATTAAATGTGTATCATTAAAAAAAAAAGGCATCTATTATGTAACCTGTCTAGGTGGGACGCTTTCAGCAACTACATCATGAATAATAGATTCTTTATAACGTTGTATAGCATCACGTTGTGCTTGAGTTAAATTAGATTCAGCTTCCATTGAATCTGGAGCATTTAAAATTGCATGTAACAATGCTTCACCATCATTACCTAAAGCTGTTAATTGTTCCAATGTAGGTTGAATTCGACGTTTATCTAATGATGAACACAAAAAAATATATATATAAGTAAAATAATTAGCTACAATAAATAATTAAGTTACACATTTTTGAAACCATGAACCGATCAATGTTAGACCACCATTAGAAACCTGGAAGCACTGAAAGACGGCCGTTTCGTCCTGGTATGGGACTCCTCAGCAGTGCGCATCCACGACTCCTGCACCCCACAGGATTCGAACGTCCTAACCGATAGACCACTGAGCCGGTGGTATCTAACGGTGTTAATGTCTAACTTGATCAAATTCATGGAGTTGCGCAACCTCATACACAGTCTTCGGTAGTTACTGTCTACACCCGAACAGGTTGAACTTCACTGGTCACGTCTTCCCACTAGAATTCGGAGAAGATTCCTCACGAAGCTAGTCACTAGTGAGCACAGGTAATTTGCATTACGGGGTTGTGAAGATTGTGTATGTAACTTAACAATCTTCACAACCCCGTAATGCAAATAATTAAGTATCATTTTTAGAGTGATTGAATAAGACAGTTGTGTTTTTTTTGTGTGTGTTTAGTGAATAATGAATTAATCAAATTCATTCAGTGAAATTGTCAGAAATATACTTTATGTTTTGAACAAAAAGGATAGATTAATTAAACTATATATATTAAAATTTGAAGAGTAGTTGTTTTTAATTAGTGCAATAACGCAGTAACCGACCACTGATCTTAGGTAATTTACTATGAGTTATAACTTTTTGGGTAAGAATCCGGTTGACTAAATCAAAATAGTTGTAGTGAGATTTGAAGCCATAAATCAATATTTGACATTTTGATAGCATGATGATATGGAGCGGCAGCTGAATAGCTACGGCATTCGATTTCCAACCATTTGATACCAGGTTCCAGTCCCGCCGAACCTATTTCATTTTGAACAGCTGGAGAGTATTACTAACCTTTACACATATACTATGTCTCGAATCCGAGCACAATAGTCTGTACTTAGTGAGTTACATTGAATGTTATAAACACTAAACCAAATCCCGGTCATTTAAAAAATACTGAACATTAAGTGACCGGAATCGAAGCATTCGATTCAGGCACAAAATAATTCCTAAATCAATTATTTCTTTCTGAGTCCAAATGCATAGATTGTACAATGCAATATGATTTAATCAGTTCAAATAAAAATTCGAACACACCGTGATATTAGACAATTACATTAACACTGTCGGAAGACAAATGATGGGAGATGGTCGAACATTATTGTGAATTATTGGAGTCAGACATTAAGATCATAGTATGTCGGCTTGATAGTCTAGAAGTTAAGCGTTCTCGCGCGAGGCCGAAAATCCTGAGTTCGATTGCCAGTTGCGAGGTCGTACGTGCGTACGGCTGAGGCTTCCCACACTAAAACGAGAAAGCCGTCCGATGCTTTAAGATTTCATTAGTAGTCTAACTGAAGTCAATTCGCGAAATAAAGTCAATAAAAATGACCAAAATTCAGGAAACACTAAGCATTTTGTTTTGTCTAGCGAAACTACAATGATGTTGACTGTTTCAGGTACTTCTGAGATAGAATCAAGAATTCTTAAGGTTTTGCAACTCTTTTATATTGAAATCCAATCTTTGAGAATTTTAACTATCTGAATAGCTAATGATCCTTATTTGATATTATACCCAGGATTGAATACATTCAAAGTAGCCTTTAAAACATGCCATCCACTCAGATGAGAATTAATAGTTAGTTTTGGTGACTGTTCAAGACTCTTATATCATATTTGAACAGAAGATCAATCAGAAAAGAGTCCACATTATTTACTAAAACATTGTATGACTGTCCAATACTAGCGAAATAAATTGTAAATAGGAATTTACAATAAACGATCCTCGGTAGAAAGTCTTGTACCAAAAGTATGCTAATGTTTAGCAACATACTTGAATCGTTAAGCACAAGTTTATCTAAGGCTCCGTCAATAACTTTGAGTCTGCGTGCTTCATATAGCCTAACTTCTGCCTCTTCAGCCCGTTCACTACGAAAAATTCGACGGCGATTTAAACGAAGCTTTGAAGATGGTTCATCTGGACCAGAATTTGCACGTGTCAAAACAGTTGATGCATCTGAATTTTGTTCTGGGACCTCTAATGTTTCCATATATTGTAAGGAATATCGACGCTATTGCAAGAAATGCAAAGGAAATACATAGTGTTCATATGATCAGTAGATTATATAATGTTATTACAATAGATATTGAACGTATAGTTTCATAGTCAAAATGCGTAGATATTCGTCAGCGAATTGAGACCTGACTGTTAAGCATAATTCTCAGAATACTTATCAAAACGACTGTCGTATATTTAAACGAACTTAAGAAAACAGACAAATATATACCAAAAATCAAAAAGGTATTAGCATCATAAAGATAATGCGAGTCACTGAAATCACACTGATTTCGGGTTACTCCTTAAAATGATATTGACTGAACAAAAACTGAAGCTAGTAGGCGATTATTTTAGGGACTGGCATGACATATATTGATTGATAAGTGTGCTAATATATATATGATTAACTTATTACATAAGATAATGATTCACTATATTATCGACTAGAATTTCACTTATTCATAATGTATATTCTTCACTTGTAAGTTTCAGAGGAACTAATCTACAATCCACGGAACTGTTGATTATTAGCCTGAACCATTAACATAAATGGAGATTCATTAATGAGCATTACTGAACAACAGACATATAAAATGAACCAACATGGAATTTGCGAATAACTTTTCTGACTATCCCAGCAAATTAGATCAGATGGCCTGTGTTGAAAAAGTATGATTTGTCTGTTATGCTCTTCAGTTGATATGCTTGAACTATTACGAGTTCACCTTAGTCGGTAAACGAGAGTGAAGACAAATGATCCAGTGACACAATAGGCTACTCTAATCCGAGCGTCCCAAGGCCCCACTAAGTAGAGGAAGAAGTCTTGACAAGACGTAGAAAATGTATTCTACAAGCACCCAGAAAATATGAGGTTGACAAGCACACAAATCGAATTTATTTATACATCATAGAAACCTCGGGAGAGCCACAAAAATAGTGTTCTAAAATAATACCTCAACCAATAATAGTCAAGGATTTCGTGGTGGGAAATGTAATTTCAAGGTCAAATGATCAGTCCATGCGCCGAAACATAAAATCCAAAATTAGGACCTTTATCAAGTGGGTTCTGGGGATCTAACGTCCTCAACAGTGTGTTAATTCGTTTGTTGTTGTTATATTTAGCAATGAAATGTATTTATTTCATAACATGAAGCACAACAATTACTAGTATGCAAGCATGTTCGGGATGCGGTTTTCCCCCTCCAAATGCAAAATGTTGCTTCCAGATTGGGTTGCTTCGGCACCTGAACTAGTGATAGGGAGTGAAGTAGTCGAGCGTGTAGATCACTTCACTTATCTGGGGAGTCTCATCAGTGCCGATGGCCTGGTGACTGACGAAATCTCAGCTCGGATACAGAAGGCTCGATTGGCTTTTGCCAACCTGCGTCACTTATGGCGTAGGCGTGATATCCGTTCTCTAATCAAAGGACGAGTGTACTGTGCAGCAGTTCGCTCCGTTCTCCTATATGGCTGTGAAACATGGCCAGAGAGAGTAGAAGATATGCGTAGGTTACTGGTTTTCGATCATAGGTGTCTTCGAAGCATTGCTCGTATATCGTGGGACACCCGAGTGAGTGACGCTGTTATTAGGAAACGGGTACTAGGTAAGAATGGCAGATCAATAGATGAAGTAATGAAACTTCACGAGTTGAGGTGGTTGGGACATGTGTTACGTATGCCTAACCACCGACTGCCTCGTCGAGCTTTGTTTTGTAGTGTAGGAGTAGGTTGGAAGAAAGTTAGGGGTGGCCAAACCAAAACATGGCAGTAATCCATGAAGTCATTGACGAGTGGACTTAGCCATGTCGGTAATTGTCGACTACCTGGTTGGGGTCCGCGAGATCATAATAATCGATGGTTAGAGACCTTGAATGACATGGCTCAAAATCGTTCGCAATGGCGCCGGTGTATTTATTCTTTGTGTTCTCTCAAATCCTAATCTTCTGCATTCTTCAACCCCTCTAGTTTTGACTTTCTAAACTTTTCTCATTTAATCATACTTCTTGAATAATATCTTCTAATCCTAACCTCTCCGATTACTTCTAATTCCCTTACTACCTCTTCTACTATTGGATTTGAATTGACAATTACTTCTCTGTGCTAATGTGGTACGGCAACATGAACTGATGTACTTACATACCAAGTTCTACGTTGCATCTGACTGACTGACTGACTGACAATTACTAGTATAAAATACTTGAAAGTATAACTTATTAGAGTGAATAATTAACCATTTTAACTAATGAACAAACTAAATGATTGCGATGAAAAGTATTTAAACAAAAAATATCAACAACATACTTGGATTACTACTCGAATTGAACTACAAATACCTCCATCTGAACTGAGAGTACACAAAGGAACAGGATATAAGCCAGCACCTGAACTTGGTTGTTTTGTGGTAAATCCTAAGCGTGAACACCAAGAAACAGGTCGTGTAGAATTCCCATGCAATTTTAATGCCATTCCAACAGCTACACCATCATCTCCATATAAATGCCTAAATTCATCAACTTGTGTATCACCTGAAGGACATTTTTTCTTAGATCGATTATCAGTAGATGATGGATTTGTTATAATTAATTCCGCGCCAGCAGTTACCAACTTGGAGCCAACACGAATTTTACCAGAAGTAATCAGTGTTGTGAGCATGGAATCTGGATGCCAGGCAACTTGATACCAACCATCTGTCAAACGAGCCTAATTTGAAACAACAACAAATGATATGTTGTGTAAACACGACAGAAAAATTCAATGAAACAGATACTAAGTACACTATAAGGTCCTGAACATTTAGGTTGAATATGACACTGTATAACACATTTTCTCATCATAAAAAAATCAGCTATTCTGATCAAGATAGATAGATGTGACACTTGAAATCATAAACATGTATATGACTTAAAGTGTAATTAAATGCTCAACTTAAAAGTTTAATCACCGAAGTTTCTTCTAGTTTTTCTTCTAAATCTCTAGCTTTCCACTACCGTCAATATCGCAATCCCAACTCCTTTTGTCTTCCTTTATCTGTGATAATGAGAAATATAGCAAACTCAATCGAAATAAATTTGTGTTTATTACTGAAATCTTAAGAATGAGGTTTTTGTAAAACTCAACGTTAGCAAGATCGAAACAACAGTTAATAGGCAAGTAAATTAAAACGAAATTAGAGACAGGCGTACCTCATTTGTCCTGTGGAGCACTTACAAAACCCTTGATCTGGATTGTCTATAACCGTAAAATGAGTTGGAGATTTTTGTCAGTTTTTCAATCTTAATATTGAAAAAAATGTCGGAATATAATTTCCGTTATTTAGGTTGGAATATTTTACCAGTAAAGGTATCATTTAAAGACCCTTCATAGCTGTATGTAAAACTTTCGTTAACAAATTCAGTGAATAGTAGTAAGCAAGATGGATTAATAATGCAACAAACAATAAGAGGACGTCGTGAATGAAAATCGTCACCTATTTCTTAATCTATCAATTAGTTAATTATTTACTGAACCATTAAAAAGGTAGTTTGTTTGAAAGTTCATGAAAAACAAAATAAATAAAAACGAAAATTCACTAACTAACACTTTACAAATAATCAACATGGAAAGAAATAAATATTTTCTGTGTAAGGGATTGTTGAGTTATTCCATTTTCGCTATTCTTGACTGAATTTTCATCAATCTTAGTTGACATATGTGCATCCTGTGAGGAATGCCTAGATATAGTCATTTTTTTACACATTTTATAGAACAGATGGATTATAACTAACAGTGAAATCAAGAACGCGCGTTTTTTCCCATCTAGAACTCTTTAGCTAGATGTAACTGCACCACAGAGTTGATGTGTCGCTCCAACATTCGAACCCCGATGAGTTATCCATTTAGTTCCTGAGTCCACTTAATTATGCAACAGATATGAAGTTGACTTAATTTGTAAAGGTTTTTGAATAATCCCATTGTGAAAGGTATACGGTTCAAATCCTGGAGTGACATATCGACTCAGGGATCTAGTTAAATCAAACCGAAACGAAACGGGTGTCCTAGATTCCCCTGATAGTTACAATCTGTCTGTTCTATAAAATAGTTAACAAGTTTAACACTGCCATTTCTACCTTATGATAGCAAAAATGAGATTTCCTTATTGATTTTAAACATTTAAAGCGTCATGCAAAGGTACTTCAAGTGATCGAAGATAAGAGTACTTTATTTTGAGTTAAATGCGAAGTAACAAAAGTCGTTCTATTGAATTTGATTGCTTAGGGGCTATAGTATATAGTTACAGTCGAATTTCTGTATCCACGAGACCAGTAAATACCAGTGAACCAAGTCGATTCACCTTATAGGGTGATGAACTTATATGAACACTAGTATGGGTGTCTTGAAAACAAAACATGACTTGAAATAATGAAATTTCGCCGAGATTGAGTGTAATAATTAAAAGTTTAAAGTTTTAATAACTATTTTGTAACTTATTTCTAAATATCATATGTCTATTCATTCGACAGTACAAATATATTTTCGATTTCTAATTGTAGTGCAAACTATTCACAACTTGATGGTAAGCACTCATATTTTTAGAACAACATATATCAACAAGTAACATTGTTTTCTAATCTTTTTACTTAACAGTTAGCGCGTGGGATAGAAGCAAAAAATGAGAAATGGAACTCTCAAAACTACTTTATAGACAATTATTTCATGTATTTTTGTCGTATATAAGACTTGTGTTTTATTATTTTTATACTTCCATGAGATTTGGCACTCAGGTCAATCAGCAATCAACAAAAATATCAACATTCAACCAATTTATCAACCAATCAGATAAATCATAGGCTAAATAGGATCAAGAAACAGATCAAAGGGGAATACAATCAAAACAAGGGTGCAAAGAACGACAGGTTTAAAGTCAACAGCAACCAGTCAAGGATCGAGGTTAGCAGAGCAAGCTACAGGTCAAACGTGGAGAAATTCGAATGCTTCAGTTCTTCTATCTGAAGTTTGTGCTGATGTTATAGTTCAGAAAAACAATGAAAGTTCCACAACCAAACATCCAGCTCAGAGAACGAAACACCACCACAAGCATAAGATTTGGCATGATTCATGAACTGTTGTTGTGTTTAACCTTTCCGAAACGATCATCATATAACTACAGTGCTACTGCGTAGTTTTGTACAATTTATGGATAGGTTAAGTGCTGGTTGCGACTCCCTATTTGTGATGTGTTGTGGATATGTGACCACAGTATATTATTTTATGAGTTTCTGAATAAAAATAACCGTATTGTAGTAAGTTTATCCGCTTGCTGTGTTCATTTTCTGACTGGCTACCAGAGTAGAAGGAGCTGATTGGATCAATATGAACTAGGATGTCACAGCCACTAAGCTATTGAACAGACAGAAGGTCATTAGTCAGACAGTTATAAAGTGAACTAATAACAAGCGGACTCTATACTCAAATAAGCCGATAGAGCAGGCTTAAAATTGACAGAACTTTTGAATTTATAACAATATACTTCAAGTGGTTCATTCAGTAGGGAAGATTGGAGAGAACTAAATCAAAGAAGCAACCAATAGACTAGACACCGATACAACGATAAAAATGATTGAATTATGAGTCACCAAAATTAAATAGAAATAAAATCTAACCTTTACACATTGGTTGGACATATCTATATGACTGACGCATAAGATTAAGCGTCGTGCCGCTGTATCGTCTTGTTCAATGACTTTTCGGAGAGCTGGTCTATGAAAAATAGATATCAAAGAATAAAACTGTATTTAGATGACAGAATGAATGTCACATAGAGATTACTGATTAATTAACTGAAGCACACTATAAACTAAGAGATATTCATATTATAGTGAGATTATCACATTTAGGTAATTTAACAATATATATAGCTGAGAAAATCAGCAAATAACACCATTAACGTCTATAGAAATAACTATAATTAATCACTTAAACATAAATTTAACTTCCCCTGGTGTTTTGCTTTCTTCATTATTAATATTATTCAAGATTTTATAAACCGATGATTATTTAAAATGTGTGAGATATATGTATAAGATCCATTTTTTGAAGGCTTTGTTTTGTAAAAATCCCTCCATGTATACATTTGTACTTTATTCTTATTGATTCCTTCAGTTGTACATTTTATTAGTCTGTATAAGATCCATTTTTGAGATGATAATATTTGTATTTTATTATTATAGTTTCTATTTCTTTTGCTTTCACTGAGTTGCTATGTTTCATTCTGAACTGCATTATGTTGTTTAAGCTGATACTTAGTCATGGCGACAGCCATATTGATTCGTTCCTCTTTTGATTGTGTCGCTTGCATTTTGATTGTGAATTGAAGCACTCTTCCAGAATAGGAAACATTCTGTGATATAAAGCAACCAAATATTATCTGTCGACCGAATCTGATCTATCATCCAGGAGGAATAGAATATCAGTTATCTGTTGCTGTTGATTTGATCAATTGGTGGAATAACTGAGTGGTAATATTTGTTTAAGTAGTGATGTATATTTATATTTAGGATGATGAATAGTCAGTCAGTCAGTCAGATGCAACGTTGAACTTTGTACATAAGTACATCAGTTCATGTTGCCATACCACATCAGCACAGAGAAGTAATCGTCAATTCAAATCCAATAGTAGTAGAGGTAGTAAGGGAATTAGAAGTAATCGGAGAGGTTAGGATTAGAAGATATTATTCAAGAAGTATGATTCAATGAGAAAAGGTTAGAGATTCGAAACTAGAGGGGTTGGAGAATCCAGATTAGCATTTGAGAGAACACAAAGTATAAATGCACCGGCGCCATTGCGAACGATTTTGAGCCATGTCATTCAAGGTCTCTAACCATCGATTATTACCATCTCGCGGACCCCAAACAGGTAGTCGACAATTACCGACATGGCTCAGTCCACTCGTCAATGACTTCATGGATTTGTGCCATGTTTTGGTTTGGCCGCCCCTAACTTTCTTCCAACCTATTCCTGCACTACAAAACAAAGTTCGTCGAGGCAGTCGGTGGTTGGGCATACGCAAGTAGGATGATGAATAGTAGAACTGTTATCTACCCAAATCATTTGTTTTGGTTTTAAACTGGGTAAGGCGCGTATCTGAACTACCTAGACAGTTAGTTACTCCTCAGTCCAAACCTCAGTTTGGATCGTACAGGCTGTAAATTACCACCTCACATTACAGTTATATGATGTGTCAACTAACCAAGTTATCAGTTCAAAAAAAAAGAGAAATAATGGGAATTATCTCGGACATAAATATTATTTACATCACTGATAAAGGGGGGGGGGAATATCTCAATATTTCTTACAATGTGAATTATTTCCCTAACAACACAACACATCACATTATGCAAATACAATGTGAGTAAACATTGTTTCTTACAACAAACAACAAACAAACAAAGAAATTACCTTTGACAATTTTCAATTTCACGATCATAACGATAGTGTAATTCATTTAAAACATGAATTGGTGAACAATAATCACTTAGTGACATTGTGTATAAATCATTATTATAAATTAAAGCAATTGTACCCAGTTTCCACATTATTTGTAAATAATGATTTTCAATCCAACCATGACTAATTAGATTTGAACAAATTCTGCAACAACTTAAAAATGCACTAAACATAAATGAAAAAAAAGAGATATTTACAATTAGAAAACATACAGACTACAGGTTGTGAATTACATCTGTTCCATTAAAGTGAGTAATTTCACCCATTCAATTAACCATATACACAATCATTTATTACAGTTAACATATAATCAATAATTTGATGTTTATATAAATTACTCAGAAGAGAAAATCGCGAATAAATTTTACTGTGGATCATTTTTATTTGTGTAAGGTTAGTGGAGGCCAAAACTGAATTGTTTTTTCTAAGTGATCTCTCACCGACACTTTGATTCAAAGATTTACTTAAAAAAGGAAGTGAAACTATGTCAAGAGATGTAATCCCATGATAGCCGTAGTATGAAGTATAATTGAGTAATACAATTAGCTGTTATTCCATCCATCCTAACTCCGTTGAGTTTCTGCGGGGATCATGCAACTACTCAGAGGCTTGGAATGTTATCCAATATAAGTCAAAATAGTGGAGATTTTTGCGCTAGTTTTCTAATGCATTTTTCGTCAAAAGTAAAATGAACGTTTTTAACTAAACGAAATCCTACTAAATTGCTTTACTAATTAAACAGTATCATTTGATTAGCACTATTTTAGTTCATTGATTTATTGATTGTATGAACTTTCTCACAAAAATATTATCATTTCATACTCTGAGTGACGAATTATTTTGTACCAGAAATTCTATTTGTCATAATTAAACAAATAAATAAATGTTACACATGTGTATTCAATAAGATGAATAAATGAAAATAACTTTTCTAGTATTTTTTCTGTATCTATTAGTAATTTCCCGACCGAAGCTGCTACCTTGACGTGGTGGTCGGGCTTGCCTATCGTGATGACCCAACCGAGCTATATTGGCTGGAACACATGTTCCTGCAGGTCCTACCATGCCAGGCAGGTCGATTGGAGAACGATGAGACTAAAAGCAACTACCCAAGGTCTGAGGGCGAAGTCGTACTGCTCACTGCAGAGGGGTGTGACAGCAGTAAGGTGTTCCCCTCGGACAACCAGCATCTGCAGCGATGCTGCCTTCTCACAAGGAAGGAAGGGTCAGAAAAGGTCGACCCTAAAAATGTCACACCTCCCCTACCTCACGGATTTCCGTCTCCTTGGGTAAGGGTGCCCACTAAGGGCCTTTAAGAACGGAGCTAATCCTCAAAAAACCTTTCATAAAAAGGCCATGCGTGACCGGCCTCAAGCAGTTGTCCCTTGGGCTCTGTGGTTACGCTCCCAGGTCGTTCAGACCAACACTAATATACCTTCCTTTTCAGGTCCCTCAAGAAACAGCCTTCCACGGTGTGGGCAGCCGGGAAGTGATAACCGCCCTCACACCCGCAACAACACACGAGACCAAAAAAACAAAATTACTAATTTAAGGATTAAACCAGATTACTCGAAGTATAAATCAAGATATTTCCATAGAAAAATTAATGCAACTTTTCATGATTTCTTTAAATCCATTGACACAAAATCATACATACAGATGTAGTTTAATGGTGAGAGTATATGCTCAGTGATAGTTTGAATAATTCTCACCTAAAAATATTTTTATATGAAAAGCGGACATTTTAAATCAATGATTTGTAACGAAGTTCAAATCGGTATGTATGATGTTGCTAACCCGTTCTGTTTTCTTTCTACTGCAAGGCGATCAAACATAAACGCTTTGGAAGCTATAGAACAAGCCCTGCATGCTCTGAACTTACAGGATGACTCATAAGACTTTGGTAAACAAGCAATCCCTTTTCTGTAAAAAAAACCGCGTTATTTAATTTTTAAATAAAGAAAGCAGTGGCTACCACTTTGTGTTCTCTCTTGGTGTGAAGTGCTAAGCTAACTTTGTGTGTTGTGATTTTAGATCTTATCCACACTTCAGAGACTGCTGATTACACGTGTTACAGATTCATTGAGATATATTACACTGACCTTGAAATTGTTTATTAGAGCAAATTACACAAGTGAATTTCTGGTTTTATACAATAAAAACATGAAAATAAAAACCACATACTAATTATACTTTATGGAAAAAATATTCTTCTACTTTTCTAATAGCTGATATATGAAACAAAGTAGTTCAGTGATCAGATACAAGTTTATGTGGTCAGGTGTAAGTTACACTTGTTATCAAACGATTAATTGAAACTATCTAAATGCTCAGTCATTTTTGTTATCACTGTAACCGTTTTTGCTAATCATCGTATTAATTGCATCTTTCTGGACTTATGTGGAGTTGCAACTTGGATTTATGCCTGATCTTATATTGATCATCACTAAGTAACTAAATGAAGAAATAAAGCCTAAGACTTAAAAGATAAAAAAAAACTCAAGTATCTAGGCAGATTAGACAAGTATAATACGACAAAATAAAGGGCATTCGAATAAAAAACGATGAAGTAGAGAATGACATGATTCAATTTGTGCTGTAATATTTTTGTCATACATGATGGACAAACCTCAACCATGTAACCATCTAAAACAATGAAGCATTGGACGATTGTTTCGTTCTAGTGTGATATTCCCCAGCAATGTGCATCCACACCCACGCCAGGGATTGAATCAATAACATTCGGACATCAGGGCAACCGATTAACCTTTGGACCACCGAGCTCATAACCCAATTGTTTGCATTGCTGAATTCAGTCTTTTCGCGATATTGGACTACTAACACAGAGGATCACTGTTGACATCTGTCTCTCATCCAATAAGATCAAACTCTCACTGCTTCCCGTTAGAACTTTATACTGGGACAAAATAGATGTCCAATGCTTATCTAAAAAAAAAGTCAATCCTCAATGTAAAACTGAAAATTCAATGACCTCCACAACCCCCTACACCGAAAAAGCCGAATTATTGATACATGCCACTATTTTGAAAGTCAACGATTTATTTTGTATGCCGCAAATGAAACAATTGGTGTGGATGTGTAATTTATCTCTACTGGAATTTATTCAAATAACCATTAGTATGAATACTCAATTCATATAAGAATCTTGACTGACGAAAAAAACAACCAAACATTGAATACAGATCTAGAAACAGTAACTCGGAAGTAATCCTAGATCTATTTAGCTTTGAGCACACGCAACAACAAGTGCAAGAGAAGACGGCCAGTGTAGCAGCAGCCTCTGCGGCAGTAGGTCTCAACATACATAAAGGAAAAAGCAAAATTCTCCGATGCAACACAACATGCACCAATCAAATCACTCTTGATGGAGATGCCTTGGAGGACGTTAACACCTTTACATATCTGCGCAGCATCATCGACAACCAAGGTGGATCCGATGCATATGTGAGGGCGCGGATTGGCAAAGCAAGGGCTGCATTTCTACAGTTGAAAAATATCTGGAACTCCAAACAACTTTCAACCAAAATCAAAATCAGGATTTTCAATACAAATGTCAAGACAGTTCTAATGTATGGAGCGGAAACATGGAGAACTACCAAAGCCATCATTCAGAAGATACAAGTGTTTATGAACAGTTGTCTACGCAAAATACTTCGTATTCGTTGGCCAGACACCATCAGCAACAACGAACTGTGGGAGAAAACAAACCAGATTCCAGTGGAGGAGGAAATCAGGAAGAAGCGGTGGAAATGGATAGGACATACACTACGAAAAGCACCGAACTGCGTCACAAGACAAGCCCTCACATGGAACCCTCAAGGCAAAAGGAAAAGAGGAAGGCCAAAGAATACATTACTCCGAGAAATAGAGAAAGATATGAGAGGAATGAACAAACATTGGACAGAATTGGAGAGGGAAGCCCAGGACAGAGTTGGTTGGAGAAAACTGGTGGGCGACCTATGCTCCATTGGGGGTAACAGGCGTAAGTAAGTAAGTAAGTAATAAACCAAATATGTTCATAGTCAGCAAGCTATAACTTTCATTCATTTATATCGCATAATTAACATTATTCAAATAAACTTGATATTAGGAAGTAAGTGGGTTGAAGTAGAATAAAAAAACGATTTACAATTTATTAATACAACAGGGGAACTCCGCCAGTAGAACCTTCGGGGCTACTGCCGGTCCCAAGCCCGGGTAAAGGAGGAGGGTTGGACATGGGGTTGGCGACCCCATTCCGTCAAAAACTAACTTGCCAAAAAAACGCTAACCAGAAAAAATAATTCAAACCATTTTAACTCTGCCCTGGGAGTTGGAGGAAGAATTATGACGTCGCGTGATGAAAGCCGAGTTCCCTCGGAAGTCACGGGAACGATGCCTCTTCTGACAACCAGAGCAACCATTTTTTTAGGTACATGGAACGTTCGTACATTGTGGGAGACTGGAAGACTATTTCAAGTTGCGGCAGAAATGAGAAGATACAACCTCGAGGTGCTTGGAATCAGTGAAACACATTGGACACAAGTAGGACAACTGAGACTAGCTTCAGGGGAACTGCTGTTATACTCTGGTCATGAAGAGGAAAATGCTTCACATACACAAGGAGTTGCATTGATGCTGTCCAAACATGCACAAAAAGCACTAATAGGATGGGAATCTCATGGACCCAGGATCATTAAAGCATCCTTCAAAACAAAGAAAGAGGACATTACAATGAACGTCATCCAATGTTATGCACCTACCAACGACTACAATGACGACGACAAAGATCAATTCTACGAAAGGCTGCAGTCAATCGTCGATAAATGTTCACCAAAGGATTTGACGATTCTTATGGGAGACCTGAATGCCAAGGTTGGAATGGACAACACTGGATATGAAGACATCATGGGACGACATGGACTGGGAGAAAGAAACGAAAACGGTGAGAGATTTGCAAACCTATGTGCCTTCAACAAACTGGTCATCGGTGGCACAATATTCCCGCACAAACGCATTCACAAAGCCACATGGATTTCACCGGATCACACTACTCAAAACCAGATTGATCATATCTGTATCAACAAAACGTTCAGAAGGACTATGGAGGATGTGAGAACCAGGAGAGGAGCTGATGTAGCCTCAGATCACCATTTGCTAATCGCCAAAATGAAACTGAAACTAAAGAAGCACTGGACAACGGGACAGACAACATCACACAAGTTTAATACGGCCTTTCTTCGGGATACTGTAAAGCTCAACGAATTCAAGATAGCCCTCACCAATAGGTTCCAGGCCTTACAGGATCTACACAATGGAGAGGACACAACATTGGAGAACAATTGGAAAGGGATTAAGGAGGCAATCACTTCAACATGTCAGGAGGTCCTTGGTCGCAAGAAGCAGCATCATAAGGAATGGATCTCTGTTGATACTCTCGCAAAAATTGAAGAAAGGAGGAACAAGAAAGCAGCAATCAATGTCAGCCGAACAAGAGCGGAGAAAGTTACCGCACAAGCTGCATACACAGAAGCAAACAGGGAAGTGAAGAAGAGCATCAGAGCTGACAAACGAAAATACGTGGAAGATCTAGCAACGACGGCGGAAAAGGCTGCAAGAGACGGAAACTTGAGACAATTGTATGAAACTACAAAGAAGCTCGCCGGGAACTATCGTAAACCAGAACGACCAGTGAAAAACAAGGAAGGCAAAGTAATCAGCAACACTGAACAACAGCGAAATAGGTGGGTAGAGCACTTTAAGGAACTAAATCGACCAGCTCCTCTGAAGACACCCAACATCGAAGCAGCATCCACGGACATCCCAATTAATATTGGCGCACCTACGATTGAGGAGATCAGTATGGCCATCAGACAAATCAAGAACGGCAAAGCAGCAGGACCAGACAACATTCCAGCAGAGGCAATGAAAGCAGATGTAGAAGCAACCGCGAAAATATTTCACATCCTCTTCAAGAAGATTTGGGATGAGGAACAAGTACCATCAGACTGGAAGGAAGGATACCTGATCAAAATACCAAAGAAAGGCGACCTCAGCAAGTGTGAGAACTACAGAGGCATCACTCTTCTTTCAATACCAGGCAAAGTCTTCAACAGAGTATTGTTAAACAGAATGAAGGACTTCGTAGACGCCCAACTTCGAGATCAACAGGCCGGATTTCGGAAGGATCGATCGTGTACTGACCAAATTGCTACATTACGGATCATTGTGGAACAATCAATTGAATGGAACTCACCACTCTACATCAACTTCATCGACTACGAGAAAGCATTCGATGGCGTGGATAGGAAAACACTGTGGAGGCTTCTTCGACACTACGGTGTGCCTGAGAAAATAGTTAACATCATACGGAACTCTTATGATGGATTCAACTGCAAAATCGTGCACGGAGGACAGCTAACCGACTCTTTCGAGGTAAAGACCGGTGTCAGGCAAGGTTGCTTACTTTCACCCTTCCTCTTTCTCCTGGTGATCGACTGGATTATGAAAACGTCAACAGCTGGAGGGAAGCACGGTATCAACTGGACAGTTAGGACGCAGCTGGACGATCTGGACTTCGCAGATGATCTGGCTCTTCTATCGCACACTCAACAACAAATGCAAGAGAAGACGACGAGTGTAGCAGCAGCCTCTGCAGCAGTAGGTCTCAACATACATAAAGGAAAGAGCAAAATTCTCCGATGCAACACAACATGCACCAATCAAATCACTCTTGATGGAGATGCCTTGGAGGACGTTAACACCTTTACATATCTGGGCAGCATCATCGACAATCAAGGTGGATCGGATGCAGATGTGAGGGCACGGATTGGCAAAGCAAGGGCTGCATTTCTACAGTTGAAAAATATCTGGAACTCCAAACAACTTTCAACCAAAATCAAAATCAGGATTTTCAATACAAATGTCAAGACAGTTCTAATGTATGGAGCGGAAACATGGAGAACTACCAAAGCCATCATTCAGAAGATACAAGTGTTTATGAACAGTTGTCTACGCAAAATACTTCGTATTCGTTGGCCAGACACCATCAGCAACAACGAACTGTGGGAGAGAACAAGTCAGATTCCAGTGGAAGAGGAAATCAGGAAGAAGCGGTGGAAATGGACAGGACACACTCTACGAAAAGCACCTAACTGCGTCACGAGACAAGCCCTCACATGGAACCCTCAAGGCAAAAGGAAAAGAGGAAGGCCAAAGAATACATTACGCCGTGAAATAGAGAAAGATATGAGAGGAATGAACAAACATTGGACAGAACTGGAGGAAGAAGCCCAGGACAGAGTTGGTTGGAGAAAACTGGTGGGCGGCCTATGCTCCATTGGGGGTAACAGGCGAAAGTAAGTAAGTAAATACAACAGGGGGTGATAGTCACAAATTACGAATAAACTAAATCTATTTCTATAAAACACTGACACACAGTGAGCTAGTTAGTTAGTTAATTACATATATTTTGTAATTATCTTCTACTTTATTTTTCAGTAAGTGTTGAAAGTAAATTAAAAAAGTCAACATGATACTTACTTGATAATTTCTTGTTTTCCAACACAACCAAACTTGTCAGGAATTAAATTAAAATCATAGAATTTATAAGATATAGGAAGTTGGCTTTCATCTTTTGTATCCATAGTATACTTTGCATCTAATAACCAATAAAGTTTATCTGCAGTCTGTAAAGACCATTTATTATGAGTATTATTTAAAAACTTTAAATATTTCGGTAGATGAAGTGATGTAGAAGAAGAAGAAGTAGATAACTTTTGATTATTATTATTGTCAACAAGTAGTAATTCCCATTTTAAAAGACATTTGTAGACATTTGTAGAATCTGACATTTCACTTCCATGATATCTTCTACGTATATTCCATAATAGTCCATATGATTTAGTGTTGTTTAATGAAGTACCAATAGATGTAGGCAGTACATGTTGATTCGATGAAGAAATTGATTGATTCTGTGTAATCAAGCTTTGCTGATCAATTCGTGCTTGTTCACGTTCTCTTTCTAACCTAATTGCAAATGAAAAAAAATAAAAATATATTCACTTATTTAAAATACAAATATAACCAATCTTCTCCGAGTTCTAGTGGGAAGTCGTGACCAGTGAAGTTCAAACCTGTCCGGATGTATACAGGGTATGAGGTCGCGCAACTCCGTGAATTTGATCAAGTTAGACATTAACACCGTTAGATACCGGCTCAGTGGTCTAACGGTTAGGGCGTTCGCGCACAATACCGAAGGTCCCGGGTTCGAATCCTGCTCCTCGCAGCAGTCGTGGATGCGCACTGCTGATGAGTCCCGTACCAGGACGAAACGGCCGTCCAGTGCTTCTAGGTTTCTAATGGTGGTCTAACATTGATCGATTCATGGTTACAAATAAAACATTAAAAAATATTTAAAAAGAACAACATTAGAATACGAAACTCCATGTACATTTTTTTAAAAGAAAAAAAAAACTAATTTTTCATACATTATCTAACCATACAGTAGTATGTATTTGTAAATTTATCATTTAACAGATTAAATGATTTGAATAAAAACACGAGAACTTATGCATGTTAGCAATGAAGTATATAAATGACTTAACACGGAATAAATAATATTAAAAAATTTCTAACTGAAATATGGTTTCAAAAAATGTGTAACTTAACAATCTTCACAACCCCATAATGCAAATTACTTGTGCTCACTAGTGACTAGATTCGTGAGGAATCTTCTCCAAGTTCTAGTGGGAAGACGTGACCAGTGAAGTTCAACCTGTTCGGGTGTAGACAGTAACTACTACCGAAGACTGTGTATGAGGTTGCGCAACTCCATGAATTTGATCAAGTTAGACATTAACACCGTTAGATACCGGCTCAGTGGTCTATCGATTAGGACGTTCGCGCACAATACCGGAGGTCCTTGGTTCGAATCCTGCGTGGTGCAGGAGTCGTGGATGCGCACTGCTGAGGAGTCCCATACCAGGACGAAACGGCCGTCTTTCAGTGCTTCCAGGTTTCTAATGGTGGTCTAACATTGATCGGTTCATGGTTTCAAAAATGTGTAACTTAACAATCTTCACAACCCCGTAATGCAAATATGATTATAATGGGATTTATTTTTCACATTAAGTAATCCACCTTTCTTTTTGTAAATTACATAATTTATTGAAGTTGGATTATGGCAATATTAAACAACTTGTTCAAGATGTATATATATACCAATGAAAACTGATTAATTACAGTCTTACATATGAAAAACAGGAAAAGCTGAGCCGCTATATACATATATATATATATATATATATATATATATATATATATACGACTGATTGAGAGTATAATTAACACTTTAATTGTTAGTGAGAAAGTTTTTATTTAATTACTTCCAAATTTGAATGATCATGATACTGAATTAAGACATTTTAAACTTTAGCTAATAATTCATGGATTTGAACTGACAGTTGCATCTCTGTGCTGATAGGGCAGGGCAACCTGAAATGATGTACTTACGTACGAAGTTCTGCGTTGTATCTGTCTGTCTGTCTGTCATGATAATCATACAATGATCATCTGGTGTCATCAGTGAGTTATTGACATTGGTTCACATTTCACAGTTCACTTCTTCCTAAACTGATTTAAGTTTGCATTGAAAATTACTCTTAAAATATGCATAAATTTTGTAGCCTAACCAGCAAAGATAATTTTTAAACCATTACGCTAAATTGTCTTTCATATAGATATAATATTTGTTACTTTGATATTTTAGAAACGGTTATCAATCAACTAGAGATGAAGAATTGTTTTTTTCAAAAAATAGTGACTTGAATCATTCATTAAAGTTTTTTTTTAATAATCTGCGCCACGTAATTCTTTATCGTGAATTTCTTAAAAAAATTCGATGATTATAAATGATGTGATCACTTAAATAACACCGAGAGAGATCGGTCATAAAACACTTGTTATTCATTTTTTTGCATAAAGGAATAAATCTCGAAATATTATCCTTAAAAAATAAATAAACATTTGTACACACAGAATGTTGGTTGGAGAAAACTGGTGGGCGGCCTATGATCCATTTGGGGTAACAGGCGTAAGTAAGTAAGTAAGTACACACAGATTGTGTAACTTAACTAAGAAAATATCTAAATGAAAAATTATATGACCAGACAAAATAACAAGGTCAAATAAAGTTTAAACAAGATAAATATACAACAATTAATACTGAATATCTTTCAGAGTAATTTAGCAATGATAAATGATATGGAACAATTATATGATAAAGCTTGACCAGCAGAAGGTTAACCGAACAGGTTAGATTGACTTACGATGTGTTAATTTCTTTCTCATGTATACTACCATCGAAATTTTCGAATGACAAGTCAAACTGAGTATCAAAACATCCTCTAAATGTGTCAATAGAGTTCCGCGACGACTCTAAGCAAATATCGTGAAATTCGGAAACTTGTCTCTCACCACTGTAAATAGATAGTAATAAATTGTCTTTCAAGACTTCAAGATTGGGATTATTCACTTCACAGTGCTCTTCTACTTTCACGAGGTTGTCGTGAAGAACTGAAGCGTCCACAAATGTCTCAGCGAACTTCCGAGATGCTGCATTCGCCAATGTCACCGAGTCTCCTCTGCCTGTCTTGAAACCAGTGAAACGTGAGTCATGAATTTCAGGACTCTTCTCAACATTCACATCACTATCACAAACATCTGACGAGTCCACAAGTGTCTGAGCGAACTTCCGAGATGCTGCATTCGCCAATGTCACCGAGTCTCCTCTGCCTGTCTTGAAACCAGTGAAACGTGAGTCATGAATTTCAGGACTCTTCTCAACATTCACATCACTATCACAAACATCTGACGAGTCCACAAGTGTCTGAGCGAACTTCCGAGATGCTGCATTCGCCAATGTCACCGAGTCTCCTCTGCCTGTCTTGAAACCAGTGAAACGTGAGTCATGAATTTCAGGACTCTTCTCAACATTCACATCACTATCACAAACATCTGACGAGTCCACAAGTGTCTGAGCGAACTCCCGAGATGCTGCATTCGCCAATGTCACCGAGTCTCCTCTGCCTGTCTTGAAACCAGTGAAACGTGAGTCATGAATTTCAGGACTCTTCTCAACATTCACATCACTATCACAAACATCTGACGAGTCCACAAGTGTCTGAGCGAACTTCCGAGATGCTGCATTCGCCAATGTCACCGAGTCTCCTCTGCCTGTCTTGAAACCAGTGAAACGTGAGTCATGAATTTCAGGACTCTTCTCAACATTCACATCACTATCACAAACATCTGACGAGTCCACAAGTGTCTGAGCGAACTTCCGAGATGCTGCATTCGCCAATGTCACCGAGTCTCCTCTGCCTGTCTTGAAACCAGTGAAACGTGAGTCATGAATTTCAGGACTCTTCTCAACATTCACATCACTATCACAAACATCTGACGAGTCCACAAGTGTCTGAGCGAACTCCCGAGATGCTGCATTCGCCAATGTCACCGAGTCTCCTCTGCCTGTCTTGAAACCAGTGAAACGTGAGTCATGAATTTCAGGACTCTTCTCAACATTCACATCACTATCACAAACATCTGACGAGTCCACAAGTGTCTGAGCGAACTTCCGAGATGCTGCATTCGCCAATGTCACCGAGTCTCCTCTGCCTGTCTTGAAACCAGTGAAACGTGAGTCATGGATTTCAGGACTCTTCTCAACATTCACATCACTATCACAAACATCTGACGAGTCCACAAGTGTCTGAGCGAACTTCCGAGATGCTGCATTCGCCAATGTCACCGAGTCTCCTCTGCCTGTCTTGAAACCAGTGAAACGTGAGTCATGAATTTCAGGACTCTTCTCAACATTCACATCACTATCACAAACATCTGACGAGTCCACAAGTGTCTGAGCGAACTCCCGAGATGCTGCATTCGCCAATGTCACCGAGTCTCCTCTGCCTGTCTTGAAACCAGTGAAACGTGAGTCATGAATTTCAGGACTCTTCTCAACATTCACATCACTATCACAAACATCTGACGAGTCCACAAGTGTCTGAGCGAACTTCCGAGATGCTGCATTCGCCAATGTCACCGAGTCTCCTCTGCCTGTCTTGGAACCAGGTAAATGCGAATCAGAATTAAGTTCGACATTTTTATGATTAGTTATTTCGGAAGCATTCATAATTTGAGTTAGATCCAGACTAGTAAAGCTATCATCGAAGTCTGGACTAGTAGGATCTGTTGTTTTATTTGCAGATGTAGGAGTTACCAAATATACTCTATCGTAGTCTGCTTTGATTTCGTCTTCTGAAGGATAGATAAAGTTAATTATCTTCGGGTATGCCGGGGATAACTCTTGTAGCCTATGAGTGACTTCAGGGCTGATGCGGGGATTCTGAAATATAGGAATTACTAGATCGTATGACTTACATGGGATCCTTCATCTGTAATGCCGAGATTACAATCATTATCAGTACTGAACAATGGTCTAATTAGGGAAGCGTCTAGGCTGTATAATAAGGAACATATAAGTTTCATTACTTTTTGCCTCATATTCATCTATTATATCTTCAAAATTAATGCTTTCAGCATTGTTACACACGTCTGATAAAAATCCAGTCAAGGAGGATAAGAAGTCATCCATTAAATCATTGATTTATTTACATCTAATTGGTAGATGAACAGGTACCTAGAAAAATAACCAAAAACATAATGTTAAAAAACTTTATATTTTAATCTATTTTCTAGAAACACTTATGCTATAAATGTAGCTAGTGTACACGAAAGTAAATGTGTGAACAGTATACAAATGCCTCTTAAAACAATAAAAACTGGAAAATTGCAACACAAGTATTATTGGAGATAAACAGGTACGCAAACAACGAGCTGAAGATATCACTTATTACGTACGCACGTCTTTTACTTCCATACATCATATTTGAAGCTTTCTGAGTGAGGTTATGAAACTTCTTATATTATTCATTTTCTATTTTATTATAGCTGAATTTAGTGGTGTAGGCGGGAACGACAAAGGCGATGAAGTTTATTCTCATATTTCTGAGTTTTTACCATGAAAGTTAGTCGAAAAACGAATAAGAGATCATCAATAGGTATTGAGGTAAAGAATGCCTCTTGCGCAAAGTCACTTAAGGGCATCGAGTCTTCAGACACATAAAAGGTTATTTATCACATTGGTTAGGTGATGGTAGTTTATTTTGGTAGTATTTTGAGCCATGTCACTCAAGGTCTCTAACCATTGATTACTATCATTCCGCGAGCCCCAACAAGGTAGCCGACAACTACCGACATGACTCAGTCCACTTGTCAGTGACTTCATGGATTTCTGCCATGTTTTGGTTTGGCGGCCCTAACTTTCTTCCAACCTACTCCTACACTACAAAACAAAGCTCTTCGAGGCAGTCGATGGCTAGGCATACGCAACACATGTCCCAAACACCTCAACTGATGACGTTTCATTACTTCATCTATTGATCTGCCATTCTTACCTAGTACCCGATTCCTAATAACAGCATTGCTCACTCACGTGTCCCAGGATATACGAGCAATGCTTCGAAGACACCTATGATCGAAAACTAGTAACCTACAAATATCTTCTACTCTCACTGGCCATGTTTCATAGCCATAAAGTAAGACGGAGCGGACTACCGCGCAGTACACTCGTCCTCTAGTCAGCAAACGGATATCTCGCCTACGCCATAAGTGACGCAGGTTAGCGAAAGCCAATCGAGCCTTCTGTATCCGAGCTGAGATTTCGTCAGTCACCAGGCCATCAGCACTGATGAGACTCCCAAGATAAGTGAAGCGGTCTACACGTTCGACTACTTCACTCCTTATCACTAGTTCAGGTAACGACGCAAGTCAATCTTGAAGCAACATTTTTCATTTTGAGTGGGAAAACCGCATCCTGAACATGCTTGCATTGTTGCTCAGGGTAGTCAGAAGACTGCATTTTGTCAGCGTCTTCACCGAATAGGAATATGTCATCGACATATTCTAAGTCAATAAGCGAGCCTCTTAGTAGAAGGTCTAGTCCTGAAAATTCAGATGAGGATAAAGTTATATCAAGAAGCATGTCTATGACAAAATTAAAAAAGAATGGGGAAAGTGGACATCCCTGATGGACACCACTTGATGTAGAGAATTCAGATGACAGTTCGACATAAGCTCTCACTCGGCCTGTAGTTTTCGAGTAGATAGCTTGTATAAACTTAATGTACTTCTTTGGTACACCTTTCAATGTTAGACACTGCCACAGAACCTCACGATCCATAGACTCAAATGCCACCTTAAAGTCCAGGAACACAACTATTGTAGGACGTCTAAATGTATGCCTGTGTTCCGAGACCTGTCGTAGTGTGAAGATGTGGTCTATACAGCCACGTCCAGGTCTGAAACCAGACTGGTTTTCTCTAGTCTGCTCTTCACGAGCTGTAGTTAGGCGTCTCAGTATAATCGAGGCTAACAATTTAGAAACTATATTAGTTATACTGATTCCACTGTTATTGTCACAAAAAGACTTTTGACAATCAGGGATTGAGACCGTTCAGATGGGATTGTGTCCAGTTCCCAGATTCTACCTAAGATCTCAGTCAACCTAGCTGCTAAAACTGGACCACCATCTTTAAAAATCTCAGGGCTCGCTGCTCTACTAGATTTCCTATAGCTTTATAAACTTCATAAAGAGTCGGGGACTTACATCGATTTGCCATTCAGGATGACTGGAGATCGTGGGTAACCGAAGTGTGGCTGAAGGCCAGTCGAACTGATCCCTAAAGTGTTCTACCCATCGTTCCAGTCTTCTGTATCGAGAATGAATAATAAGACCATCCTTTTCCGAGATAGTCTCACTAAAATTCGGGTTCCCAATACCGGTTTCCTTGATGATTCTGAATAGTTTCCTACTGTTGTCTATCGCCATTGCCTTTTCCATCTACCTTGCTTTCGCTACCCACTAATGTTTTCGATCATTGCGAAGGCTTTTTATCAGCCTGCGCCTAAGATGACTTCGCTCTTTATCATGTTCAGAACCAGACGGAATATGTTTTCAAGCATCCATAAGTTCGGTAGATGACATTGAGATCCATGGCTTCTTCCTAGCCATGTGATTTACCTTACTAGAAGATATCACTACTGTTTCCACAGCTTTTTTGATATCGTTCCAAGCTGCCTCAGGGTGGTCATCACTTACTACATGGCTGCCTGTTTTTCTAATTGTTCCTGAAATATATTCTTAGCTTTATTATCGTTAAGTAGAACCCTAACAGATTTCCTTGAGTCCAGTAAGGCGCAAACAAATACGCGCTCGCACTAGAGCATGGTCTGAGCCTAAACAAGTGCTCCAGAATGAGCGGCAGTCTTCAACAGAGCCTCTCCACCGATGGTTTATAGCGATGTGATCTAGTTGGGTCGGCTTTGGGGGTCGCCACATCAAAACGTGTTTTACTTTATGCTTAAAGTTAGTGTTTGCCAGGAATAGGCGATTATCTGAGCATAGCTGCAGCAGACGGCCACCATTATCTGTTATATTAGCCGCGACACCATTAGATCCATCCAGCTGTCTTTCCTTTTCGCTTAGTCTACCTACTTGAGCGTTAAAGTCACAAGCCATTATTACTATATCAAAGTGCCTAACTTGTTGGAGGAGGTCTGAAAGCTTTCTATAAAACTTATCTTTCATGTCATCTGAACTGCAGTCAGTGGGAGCGTAGGCAGATACGAAGAAGAGGCAACGACGAGTATCCCTATCCTTCCGAGTCCGTACCGTCACGTTTAGTCGAAGAGCGCATAAGCGACTGTCTACAGGGATTCAGTCTAAAAGGGATAGTTCTGCCCTAGGACTTAGTACTATATCTACACCGGCGAGGCCACGAGAAGCGGCATCAGGGCTTTCGGAAACGCGAAGCGTAAACCTTGTTGTGTCTCTATCTGCACTAGGTGAGGTCAAATTGATTTTACTCGGATCTTGTATGCGCGTTTCCGAGACGCAGCATACATCGATGACGCGAGATTCTAAAGTCCTAGCTAATGATGCCTGTTGCCCCATCTGACACAATGTCCGTACATTAAATGCTCCAAAATGTAGTCTAGAGCGGGGTTTTGGGAGACCAGAAATGACGTTTCGTGAACTCGCATCGTTTGCATTAGCGGTGCAGTGTGATAAAGGAATGTGAGAAGAGTTAGCCGCCGGAGACGGCAATTCGTGAGGTAGGGTGAAGTGTGATATTTTTAGGGTAAGCATTTTCTAACCCTTCCTTCCTTGTGAAAATGTAACATCGCTGCAGATGCTGGTTGTCTGAGGGAAACACCTTACTGCTGTCACACTCCTCTGCAGTCAACAGTACGACTTCACCCTCAGACCTTTAGTAGCTGCTTTTAGTCTCATCGTTCTCCAATCGACCTGCCTGGCATGGTAGGACCTTCAGGAACATATGTTCCAGCCAATATAGCTCGGTTGGGTCATCACGATAGGCAAGCCCGACCACCAAGTCAAGGTAGCAGCTACGGTCGGGCAATATTCAGTGGTCTGAACTGGTGCACGAAGAATAGTATACCAATATAGTTGGTGTCTGAGGACGTTTTGTAATTTAAGGAAGACTATGTTCAGACGACTGGATTCCAACCATCCGTTAATTGAATAACAGCTCGGAGAAAATTTAATATCTAAAACTACTCTGGTTTCGCAGAAAAAACAGCAAATATTCACAACTCAGTACAACTATTGGCTTGTTACATGAACAGGATCGGAGAACATTCGAACTATGATAATGAAAATTTATCAACTTTGTTGTATTAAAATCTCACAGAAGAACCATACTTTTATCTGTTTATTCAATCTTATACACATACCGAAACGGTTATTTCTCAAACAAAAAACCAGCACAAAATATCGCTAAAGTTTTGAAACAATCTATGGCGTAATGAACCTTTATATTCGATTTTCACAAAGAAAACCAGAGCGACTTTTAGCTAAGAATCTAGAAATCACATTCTAGATAAAAGTAGTCAGTCAGTCAGATGCAACGTAGAACTTCGTACGTATGTACATCATAGATAAAAGTAGAAATTGGGTGGAAGTTGAACTGAAATGTGTAGTGTGCCAATATAATCACTGATTGTAGTGGCCTATTGTCATTTGAATTAACTATGATCTTGGATGTGATTTTACGTGGTCTCTATTAGAATCTATTTGTGCTGAATAATAGTTGATATAGATTTTGAAAGAAACTTGAGTAACTACACTTATTAGGCCTTATATATGTTTCAGTAATTGGACTGACTTAAGTCAATCAATCACTAGAAGTTTTCGAAGTAAAAGCCTAAAGTTTGACAACTTTTGCAACATCCTACCTTAAAAAAATATACGTTTTTGCTTCACGTAACAAATTATGTTCCAGATAAGGGTAGACTTTCACAATGGCCACTTGACGTTTGTTTTATTTAAAATGCACGGAAGGCTAGAACTTTTCGTTTTCCTTTTAAATTTATTTCATCGAATAATACTTCATGAATACTATTTTCGAATCCTAATCTCCATTTCCGCTAATTCTTCTACCACATCTACTACTAAGGGATTTGAATTGACAATTAGATTTCTCTGCTGATACGATGTGGCAATCTGAAGTGATGTGCGTACGTACGAAGTTTTGCGTTGTGACTGACTGACTATATAAAACGTGAAAAGACTGATTATCGTAAACTTTCCTCTCTATTACTATTTATCGTTGCTTGCTTCTCAAGGGGTCCATATACAGTTATACTTAACAGGTCCGTTTACACTGTTGAGTAGCAAGCTGTAGCAGCTGTCAAAGTTTTACGAACACCCTGGAGAATTTATATGCTTTTAGATACACAAATACTATGATGTAAATGACAAGCGAAGATGTAAATGAATGCCAAAAATCTGTGACTGTATACTGACTGCTAGCTAACTGACTTGCGAGCAAAAACAATAGAGGGATAAGTGGACCAATTGTAGGATCCAAACTGAGGTTTGAACTGAGGAATAACTGTCTAGTTGATAGAGTGCACTTACATTTTTTGACGAAGGAAACCAAAAACAATTTGCAAGAACCTTAACGCGAAATTGGGATGATCTGAAGATAATAACTAGAAGTTGAGACAGTAGTTTTGTATTCGTTATAATCCTACCATACAATTTGAGCGTTGTGCACCCAGCATACGGTTATCGCGACCTTCACCCTGACCTCGAGCCTCGAAATTTTATTGAAACCGACCTTAATACTTAATGATGCTCAGGCTAACAGCTCCAAGTTCAATATTCTCTGAATCTGGTGCTGATGTGACCGTTAGTTGTTGTCTGTTGCTGTCCTTATTAAATGTAGGTGCTTTAAGGATAGCAGATCAGTTAATTTATTTTGTTCATTGTAGTGCGTAAACAATATCCAATATTCAATATATTTTTCACGAACTTGTATTAACCGATTAACTTATTAAAGCTCGATTCCTGTAATCTCGGTACAGTTTCAGGCATATAGTAGTGTCCAATCGATACTGTCTGGCCACTCGAATGAACTAAATCCTTATTTTCCTTTCACTATATCGATAATTCTACTTTTTCGGTAACTACACTCGTCAAGGAAATGATCATGATTTTTAGCTCTTGAAGCTCTTGAAGCAGTAAACAAGTATCTAAGATAAATAAGGCTGTAAGTTTGTAATGACGATTTCATAAGTTTTACTTGAAAAATTCTAGCTGAAAGCACACGATCTGTTATTCAAGCCAGATAGTCATTAGGCACCACACGCTATGCATCATCTGCAACAATCATCCAGCTTAGATCACCTACTTCCTAGCCGTATTCTAAATCTATCTCCGAATTCCTTCATTCCTGACTTCTGATTTGACTGACTTTTGAATATAAATAATATTTATCCTCAAATAACAACGCAGTACATGTTTCGTGCCAGTTTCTGAGAAAGATCAAAGTTACAAATGAGACCCCATTTGTTGTAAGAGGTTGCTGAGATAGAATAACAATCATATTCTTTTTCTGTCATAGCAACTTCATGTAATCGCGCCAACATTAACAATATGATGCAGCGACATTTTCAGCATGCAATTACAAATAAGGTTTGTACACAGAGGAGTTCATGGGTGGTCCGCAATATTCAGGAATGATCTACGAGATATTTTTTAAGGAGGTTTACTTGCAGATTGTTTGTGCAATGCAACAAGGAAGCAGGTCTGTGTTTGTTAGGGACTGGTCATAGGAAACCACTAGGTATAACTGTTACGGGAGAAATGAAGACATTTGGCTGATTAAAACCTTTATATAAATATCATTAATTTCACTGTTTTTTGGGTATATTTGTTTTACTTAACTTATGAACTTGTTTGATTTATTATTTTTGGACATTTTGGTTTCTGTTTGTCTTGGTTTGCTAGTTCGGAGTTTTTGCTCCAGGAACCTATAAAATTGAAGGTTTTTGTAGTTGTTATAATTATTGTTGTCAGAACGACATTTTATGAATTGCAAATAAACTTTGGTACCTAACTTTGGAGTTTGGTTCTGTTGTTAATTTGGACTCGTGAATTGCAAATAGATCGACATACTGTACTTCAATAACGGGAAGGAGCAAAACTTGGACGTAACAATAACCCTAAACCTTGATGGACTCGTTCGTAAGAGAATGGTGACCCAATCATGAAAGTGGAAACGTGATTCTTTGGAGTAGCAGGCCTATGAGAGGAATCTTAGCATTAGTCACCTCATAAATCGAAGAGAGCCGGAAGTAAACAAAACTTTTTCGATTATCAGTCTATTAGGGTTAAGAGAGTTGTCCAATGCGGAGTATCAGCCACATATTTATATTCTATCCAATGTGACATATACTACGTTAAATGTTGTAATTAGTTGTTTCAGAAGACAGACAACAAAGAAAAAGATTTGTCTCCCGTCCAAAAGTGATTCCTAGGCTATGTCACATTCTTTACTGTATTTCCAGTCCTCGGTTCAACTGCTATCAGTTATCTTATCTGGAATGTTTCACCAAATTGTGTAGTCTTACTGGCTAGGTTAATTGCTTTTCACTTGACTCTTTAATTGAGCTACTGCCATCCTTAAGCTTCCTGAGTTCATTACCTCTCTTTGATCAGACCATTTCTAACGACTGCAGAAAGGATAGAATAGTGCCTTCTGATTGGCAGGAACACCTCCGTTTACTCATGGTTGGTAAAAAATTTGTTTATTTAATCTTCTTATTGTAAATCGCAATGGACTTTTTGATCCTGTCGAACGATTTTGTGGGCAGTATTTCCCACTAACGCTGTTCCTTCACACGATTCTGTAGAGATTGCATTCATGAAACGCCTCATTAAAGCCGTTCCAAATTCGTTTACTGTAAAGTTAAATATATTGCATTATGCTGATTACTGACCATCTACAACAATTATGATTCATAAGATATTTATGTCGTATGTTCGACTGCGTCACGTAACGCAGACAAATCTAAGTTGTGTTATATTGGGTTTGTTAGTGGTAGACTCAATCTATAGTCGAACATGCTAATTTAAGCTGTAGTCTCGATCACCCTAGATTGGGGAATAAATGATAAAAAATATAAAGAAGCTATTTTTTCCGGTGTATTACTATTCTTACATGTTTCCTGAGAAAAAGCAAATTAAATAGTACTGCATAATGTATTGCGACTTTATACAGTTAGGAATTTAGGATACTTATCTATACAGTCTCCGATATAAAGTATCTATGGTCAGACTTGCGAAATATAAAATATAAAATTCGCAAAAACGTCTCCTTCACTAATTATGGACTGATATGATATAGCCTTACCTCAAAAAAGCGCATGACAGATGGGTTACATGAGTTTGTAAAACTTCTTAATGAAGCCCTCAATCAGACTGATTCATCTGCACGGTCGAATGCACTCTCGCCCTGCTTCCATGTTTGGACAACATAGAATCTGGAGTTGCATTTCCTTTTTATCCTTCTCTCTGAAGAAGTAATAAATGCCTGTAGTTGGCTACAGATTTCCTTGATTTTTACTTAAAATAGGCAGGTTACTGTATAGGCTACTGTACAACCGCAGCTGGCTGGTAAGAAAGCACTCTACTGCCCTTAAGAATCGTCTCTCAAACATCACTATATGCTGCTTAATCTCAAATGATCATGTATCCATAGACTGATAAGCCATCATGCGGTTTGGATTGGACAAAACTCTATCAACACCCATAATTTTTTTAGTTTCTCATTGCTTATTATCAGTTTTACTGTTCTCCCATGCACTCCGTCGACTTACTATCTCGTTATCTTTTGCCCCACTTATCACTATATTACTTCTAGTATTTCCCGCTTACTCCACTCAATCTATTGCCGCCACTACATCCTAAATACTTACAGTCTGTTTAGAAACCCGCACTTCTTTCTTCCTGACTGATAACTGTATTGCATTTTAAGGGACAGACAAGCTTGCATAATGGAACTTGCAGGAAAAGTGCTTCTCAAAAGGATGTGGAATACAGAGCCTCGAGCAAAACATAACATGTTTTCTTAATATCATTTTAAAGGAGCCTAACTACACAAATTAAAGGAGAATAGGGCAACTGACTGTAGGATTAAATTTGTCCTACAGATGTAATTCTAAAAACGTAAACGCGAATACTGCCGATGACAGAATCCAGAGTAAGACTATAGTTAACAGAAGACAATTTGCTTTTAAACTTTATCTGTTTCTAAACAAAAAGAAACGATTAAATTAGTACAATAAATGAGGAAATTACAGTTAGCAAGCAGGATGAGCAAACGTACCGGACAGTATAGCGTGTCTTTAGAAAATGAATAAAAAACATGAGTCACAGCAATATAAATAAAATGATAACATCCTTCAATCGATGGACCATTCACAACAAAGAAAGTTTATACATCGGTCAGACTAGATGACGTGGTGAGCGCTTAACCAATCTGATTGGCTAGTTATGACATAACTACAATTAGTCATAAAATAACTAACACTCCCCCCGAAGCGGTCACCACGTCCAGACCTCGTTGCTGTCGCGCTCGAATAATCGACCTCTTCCATTAGGCATAGGTTTCGTATATCTCGGTTGATGTCTACGGTGTCTCTTCAATCGAATCGTTCTGAATCGGCCATCGGGACCATAATTGACTTCTCTAACTATAGCTTCCACCCAAAGATTTCTCAGCAAACTAGTATTGTTTACTAACGGTGAGTCTCCATGTTGTGGCTTCCTTCTCGTTGACTTTATAATATGTTTCCATATACCTCCTCCGGGATCAAAGATTAATGCTATAAACGACAAAATATTCCTTCTGGTCAGGTTTCCAGGAAACACGTGAACTCTGACAAATGATTGATCCGCTTGGATATTCCGCCCTACTCCCAGCGTTCGTTTACACATCTCGTTGGATCCGCATAGGGTAATGTTTCCCTTTATTTTATCACTTTTCTGGCAAAATGAATTCGATGATACCGGTGGGGATGCTACTGTAGATTCCGCTGCATAATTTTTGGTTCTTATAGAATTAAGACCACGTCTGTTCTGGTTTGACCTGATGGTGTATGTTTGACTCAAAACAGATACAGAACTGTCGAATCCATATGGACATGTGTCGTTCTCTTCGATAGCTTTTCTTTTCAATTCACGACGTCTTCGACAGGCTTCGTGAAACTGGAAAACACTCTTATCACAAACCATCCCATCCTGTTCGATGATTTCATCAAATAATTTTGGAAGAAGAGTCTTCTTGTCTTCTAAGACAGAGAAACCACTTGTACTTACATGAGTAGGACGTGACCGATAGCGATGTGTTTCAGGATCCGAAGTGCGGTCTAATGACTTGCTTTCTGACACATTTGTCCTTATTCTTTTAGCTTGAGATGTTCCTGATGCAGAATCATTGCTACTACTACATGAATACTGCAGATCAAATTTACTAGGGATTTTATTTGTGGATAGTGTACCTTGCTCTTTACAGAATTTTAAGACATAATCGATTTCGTACTGAGTTGCTTTGCGTAACTTGCTGACGGGTGTCCATTCTACAACGCGATCCCAAATATAACGTATGCGATACTCTGCTCTTGTACCATGTCGCTGACGATGGGCTAGAACCTCAGCAAGACATTGGAAGTCGTTGCGCCATGTAGCCATTACATAACTACCCACCTCATTAATTGCAACCATTCTCAAAGTTCGTGAGTCAACTAGAGCAGCAGGCATTTGTAACCAACTGAGAGTATTAATCAACAGTCTGCATTTATACACTAAACGTACTACTATCCGTGACCTGCAGAGAGATTCTTTATTCTTTTCAGCACCGTTGTTGTGTACATCATTTAACTCGAAATGAAAAGGTCCAAGATTATTACACCTCTGTTTATTAGCATCCGAATTATGAGCTCGGCAATGCTGTCGAATAACTGGCATTTCTCTTTCACCTGCAACTAGGTCGACTTCCGCTAAAGTGAACGTTTCTTCCCGTTTATCTTCAACTACTTCCTTAGCAGAATCTTCTAGATTTTTCGAATCCTTACAGTCTGTCTGAGAAGCTGTAACAACTTTAGCCAATGCAGTAAAAGGACACGAAGCAAAATCATGACTTGTAGATGATGATGTCCATAAATTAACCGAAGCATTTTTCGACACATCAGAATTCACAACGTTTGATGAAATATTTGATCCGAGAACACAATCAGATGGAATGTCTTTCTTAGCTACAGCAAAACTTGATAGAACGGTAGGTGACTTAGCTAATTCTTTCGATGCTTCGAGTGATGCAACGGAAGCCTCTGTGTGAGAAACATAATGATTAGAAGGAGAACTAGAAAAATCCTGATCTGTCGATTTAGTGCGAGGAGTGTTTCTTCCATTCAGGTTTATCTGAATTTTATCATGTTCACTGTTACTTTCCATAATAAACAAATTTGATTTCTTCTCGGAAACGGCTACAACTGGATTACGATATTCTCTTCCCTTTTGACGCAAGCGTTCTAATTCAATTTCTTTCTCTATACAAGCTAAACGTACTTTAGCTAATTCCAACTCTAACAGAGGATCTATTCGGTAGCTATTTCTTCTAAACTGGTCTTTGCTGAGAGTTTCCGAGCGGTAGGGAGACAATTTAGGAATCTGATCAGTTTTAACAATCTCCGTGGACATTTGAAGGTACTCAGTATATGAACTTCTAATGAATTACTGTCCGAAACTATGTAGGATTAAATTTGTCCTACAGATGTAATTCTAAAAACGTAAACGCGAATACTGCCGATGACAGAATCCAGAGTAAGACTATAGTTAACAGAAGACAATTTGCTTTTAAACTTTATCTGTTTCTAAACAAAAAGAAACGATTAAATTAGTACAATAAATGAGGAAATTACAGTTAGCAAGCAGGATGAGCAAACGTACCGGACAGTATAGCGTGTCTTTAGAAAATGAATAAAAAACATGAGTCACAGCAATATAAATAAAATGATAACATCCTTCAATCGATGGACCATTCACAACAAAGAAAGTTTATACATCGGTCAGACTAGATGACGTGGTGAGCGCTTAACCAATCTGATTGGCTAGTTATGACATAACTACAATTAGTCATAAAATAACTAACACTGACCGGCAAAAATTGATGGTGAGGTGGATGACTTCAATCCACGCATGTTTGTGGGCAGAAAATCTTACTTGCTTACGGCTCTTTCTGATTGATGGGGCGATTAATCATTGACAAAGAGGTTGCTCTTATACGCTTGCCACTTCTGAGACACACGCCTTCAGTTTTATGCTGGGATTTCTATTCTGCCAAGGCAATTTGTAAACTGCTGACTCAGGCACTAACAGTATGACTTAGAGGTCGATATTTGATCGAAAAAAAGAAAGACAGTGAACAACGTTATTGTCAATGTTTTCTTAAACTTCACTCTTCATCCTGAACTTTCATCGTCAGTGTACCAACATCCAGCTTCTTACTTCAACTTTTCTTCTATCCTCCTTGGCATACACCACAACCCATTATTGTTTATCTTCACACTACATTATTTGAAGGTTGTATTACCAGGATTTGTTTTAATCGTGGTTGTCTGTATGGATTTCATTCTAATTTGCTGTTGAGTTTATTCCCCCCCACAATAAACGGTCAATCAATCCCCTCATTATACCCAGTTGCGTCGTCTCCCTTTTCTCTCTTTTCTCTCGCTTTTGTCCCTTTTTGGAACCCTTTCCGCAGTGTAAAATCCACGCTGTCTCCAAGCTAAATGTATATTTTGTATGCGCACGTCTAATTCATAGCTCATATCTAGCGCCTCCCAATCGACACTTCCGAACAATTTCACTCCTGAATTGTGCACGCAATCCAAGAACTGTGCTGTGTACCTACGCTGTTTATAATCACTTGCCGGAAATATATCTGCGTCATACAGTTCCTGCGGGCGAAACTGCGTAATGCTGCTATCAGAAAAAAGTTATTATTGATCCAACTGTGCAACCTTTTACGGTATATTTTGTAGCACTTGTAGCAATTTGGTCAGGCCAGTAAACTGGCATACCCCATCTAACGCATTGTTATTTGAGAATTAATATTTATTATTATCATAATCAAAAAACGGTTTTCTCCATCACTCTTTGGACTTGTGAAAATCTTAGCAATGTTTAACACTTCAAACAGTATGATACATTTAGTACTACGTAGTTTTTTTTTCATCTGCTGTTAAACTTGATTTAAGTTTTATTACATCTTTAAATTACCCCTAGAGTACTTTTGGCGTTTCTGCCGTTCTCATGCCACGATAAAGTAGGAACGTTGGGCATGTTTAGGCAACTCCATCTTGTAATAGCAAACTATCTACAAAATTTTAATCGTAAAAAACAATTTAAACTCTGTCCTGGATATTTATGGAACTTATGGTATGTTTAGGTTTTTATAGAAGTCAAGAAGTTGATTCCCCTTCTCACAACCGCATCAACAACTGACACAGGTACACAGATCGTTCGTTCAATATCGGAAACCAGGTGAGTAATTCAGTTTGCTGAGGAAATGCATAAATACAACCTGTTTGTGCATGGCCAAGTGAAGCTCATTAGGCACAAACTAGAGAGAAAGGCTTAACTTTGTAGGAAATTCTTTTGTACTCCGACTATGAAAAAGATTATTCATATACATAAGGAATTACACTGATTCAGCTCAAACTTGCGCAAACGTATTGATGAGATGGAAACCTTGTGAGCCCATGATCGATTAAGCATCCTTCAAAGCAGTAAAAGAAGGATTGTATAGAATAATATTCACTGCTATGCGCCCTCCAACAATACCACTGAAAACGTTTAAGAATAATGCGGTCGATAGTCCAGAAATACTCTGCAAAGGATTTAACTATTTTGATAGGAGACCTGAACGTTAAGGTTGGAAGTGGCAACAGTGGATATGAAGACACTGGTAGACCACATCTGATTCATTTAAAAGTTCAGAAGGATAATGGGGTACATGAGAACCAAGAAAGCAGCTGATATAGCCTCATATCATTACTTACTCGTCACAAAAATGCACCGGGCAATAGGTACGGACAACATCACATCAGTTTGTTACTTTCTCCGGGCTTCTGGAAAACCCGACGAATTCAAGACAACCCTCAGCAATAGGTTTCAGGCATTTCACGACCTACTTATTGGAGAAGACACTACTATGGAGAACAAGTGGAAAAAGATCAAGGAGGCAATAACTCCAATTCACAAGGTTCTATGCCACAAGAGGCACCATCACAAGAGATGGATCTCTGTGGATACTGTGGATAAGATTTGAGGAACGAAGAACAGGAAGGTGGCAATCAATATCGGCCGAATGAGAGCAGTGAAACACAACGCATTGGTCAAATACTCAGAAGCAAACAATCAAAGCCGACAACCACTAATATGTGGAAGGTCCAGCAATGGCGGCAGAAAAGGCTGCGAGAGAAACATTAGACGGCTGTATGATTCGACAAAGGAGCTCGCTGGAAACTATCGTGAACCAGAACGACCAGTAAGAGGCAAAGAAGGCTAAGTAATCAGCAACACTAAATAACAGCGAAACAGGTAGGAAGAGCACTTTAACAAACTCTTGAATCGACCAGCCCCACTGAACCCAAGCAGCGTCGAAGCAACATCCACGAACTGCCCAACCAATCTTTGCCTGCCAACGACTGATGACATCAGCAAGGCCATCAGACAAATCAAGAGCAGCAGAGAAGCGAGACCAGACAAAATTCTAGCAGAGGATCTGAAAGCGCATAGCATCTCACCATTTATTCATTATACCAACTTTCATAATTATTCTTTTAAATTATTCGATAACAGTATCCATTCTGTATATCTGATTGTGCGTGTGTATACACATTCACTTATTTCATATCTAGCCTATTTTTGCCTATAAATACTTAGTCATTCCTTCAGCGCATGAGGATTGGCTTACTAACCTTCTCCGATTCGCTTCGCTTTTTTTGTACGCTTTCAATTTTCATGTCTGTCTGATTAAATGAAAGCAAGAAAAAAAATCATTCTGAAAACCGTGTTTGGCTTCTGTTTACCACCGTCCCACGAGCGGAAGTGGATAGAAAGATTTATTTCTTTGCACACCCGATCATTCATACAACTAGAGTCCGAACCAGTCAAACTATTCAGCAGAGGATTGTTAAACCGAATAAGATATTCAATAGACACCTAACCCCGAAATCAGCAGGCCGGGTTCCGTACCGATTGATAGTGTACCGACCAAATCGTGACTTCACAGTTTGTAGCAGCAGCAGGGCGCAAAAACTTTACATATCTGGGTAGCATCACTGAAGAGTAAGGTGGATCTGATGCAGATGTGAAGGAGCCGATCGGCAAAGCAAGGGCATCATTTCTACAATTAAAGAACATCTGGAGCTGAAATGAACTATCAACCAACACGCAACTCAGAATTTATAAAACAATGTCAAGGCAGTACTACAGTATAAAGCTTAAACTTGGAAAACCACGAAGGTCATCATCCACAAGTATTTATTAACAGGTGTCTACGCAAAATACTTCTCGAATAATCTTCACCACCATCTAATAAATTCAATTATCAATTTATTTACTTAGCTCTGAAGACTTCTTTTTATGAGCATTAGTCCTGAAACAAACGTACTTATTAAAATCACGTGACAAACAAACTCACAATTAACTGTCACCTGACTAAAATTAGTGCAGTCGAGGGACTAGACCCCCATACAATGGACACTAGCAAACGCCTGGAACCGTACCAAAAGAACAGTCGGGCACAGAGAAATCAATTGGTTTATGATAGTTCGTGAAAAAGATATTGAGTGGTGAAATTAGGCATCAAAGTCTTTAGATAAACCTAATCGAATCTCTAGAAGCTAAGGAACTTTGACACTGACAAAAAGGTTAATGTCGACAATATATGGCCGTTCACAGGCCTAAGGCACTTCTAAATAAGTAATTTTTATTACTAGTGAATGTGAGGTTTGTAACTCGGTTTTAATATCCTATTGCACAGAAAATGAGTGGCGCTGTTCTAAGTTTCAGGGTTACTGTGTAGGTTGGGATTGATGGGATTACTACAGTTTCCAAGTCTTTTCGTAGTAGTCTGGAACCAGCAGCATTGACGATGGCAGTAATTCTGAATTTTTTAGATTTTCTTTTATCTTATGTAGATGCACTTGAGGTTCTTGATGCCAGATGGATCATTCTTTGAGCATAAATATGATCTTGATGCTACTGTTGAGCAAATAACCTCTTCTCTGTTTAGTGACTGGCCCGATAGTAAGTCGTCATAGTAACTATATTAATCCTATAGGTTTAGGACAGAGGCCAAAATCAAATCATTTGAAACTTATTTTCCAAGGTAGATTTTTATCTAGCACTTTGAAACTGTCAGGTATGTTTTCATGAGTAGTTAATAGTGTTAGTGTATCTACTTTAATGCCTCAGGTTTATGGTATGTTCCTATTTAGGCTTTTTTGTCCGGTAATGACGTCTGAATTATCGACAATGTACTGATCAATTGTTGGTAGTTACTCTTCATTAGTTTAATACATACGCAAAAAAATTACTGGAGTAATAGACGAACTGCATGAGTAGTGACTTTGCCAACTGGAGCCTACTTAGTAAGTTGTATGAGTGATCTAGCTTACTATAGTACTTATCGTGGGGCCTAGACTAATGAAACAAAGTTATTTCACTTAAAACCTGACATTGCATTCCTAAGGGTGACTTTTAAAAGAAAAAATGGAAAATGTGTTGAATTCAAGTCTGTTCGAAACAAGAGTGCGGCATCTTCAATGTTATTACACCAAATGAAGTCAGTCTTTTCAGTAGACCGTTTAAAGAGTGCATAATCACGTATGTAGTCATAATCGTTTGTGTTACACCTTATTGGCAGTGGAGTACACGCGTAAAGTAAAGAGTGTTTGCACTGTCTAGTCATACCTTCATTTTGCTTCTCGAAATAAGTAACGTATGCTATCCTACTTGAATTATATTTTCAAGCCCTAATCTCCAGTCTGTCAGTTAGTCGTTTACAACGTAGAATTTCGTAAGTGCGTATATCATCCCAAGCTGCCGTACCACTTTATCAGAGAGACACAATTTTCAATTCAAATCCCATAGTGATGGAGGTAGTAGAAGTATCAGCAGTAATCTAATAGAATAATGATCGAATCTATCATTCGAGATGTATAGCCCAGAGAAATCAGTTAAAAAAAAGAGAAAAACAGTCTTAAGGAATTCAAAAGACTAGGATTTGAGAGAACACAAAAATGGATGCACCAGCACCATTACTGCTTATACTTCTACCACCTCCACTACTATGGGATTTACATTGACAATTGCATCTCTGTGCTAACGTGGTATGGCAACCTGAACTGATATCCGTACGTACAAAGTTCTATGTTGTAGCTGACTGACTGATCTCACCGTATTTATTTTATTTATTTCTTTTTTCATTCATTGTTATATAGTCCTCTTCGCTCTACTTTCTTACCATAATTTATATTACTACCAACTACATTGATCGATGACGGGCTAGCTGCTGTTTGTAGCAACCCCATTAACCTGGTGCAAATGCACTTACTTATAATCTAAACTTAACTAAATATGGAATAGTTTACTTAGTATATACTATCTGTTTTAAAGTATATCGCATTGACTTTTCGGTATCAATACTGGCAGATAAGTTGTTCGGTTTTTGTTTTCAATGTCCTTGAGAAAGTACTTGTGTGCTTGAAAAAATCAGTCTCCAAAGTAGAGTTAGACCCAGCCTATGAACAATTACTTTTGTCCACTAGAATTACACCATATCCTTGCTGGTGCACCAGTCAGGATTCATTATAAAATTTTACAAATCAGCTTTGTTTTTCAAGTGTTCAACATATACCTGTGTATTTTATTTTCAGAATTGAAATTACCCTCTGAACCAATTACAATGCATTTAATTCAACATGAAACAATGCCTTCGCCTAAAATAATCAGTAAGAATAGTTCTTCAGCTTTCTTTCAACTAAATATTAACACTAAACAGTTTTTCATGAATTATTGTCAGTAGATTATTGTATCATCACTATAATTTAATTAAAAGCTTTTTCAACTTAAGGAATTCCGTAAACACAATTAATGCTCTTGTATTCCATTTTGATAGTCTGCTTTTTCGTTGGTAATTTTAATTGATGGTGATAGTTACTTACAGCTACGGTAAATTAGATAAGTTGTATAATGTGTCCCCTGAGTTTTACCGTGTTAGAGGATTCAACTGTACTGATGTGAAACCAAAGGCAATTGAACGCTCTTTGTTCGTTAAAAGCATCTTAATTATAGCTTTTTAATATCTAAATCTTTTTCCCTGATGACCTAAACACTTTTTAATTTTGCAACCCCTTTTTTACATAAAAACTTGTAGAATACTAAAAATCTTAGAATTTGACTAATAACAAGATTATTAAAAGTACAAGCATATATATATATATGCTTGTCATATGTTAAAAATAAGACCATAAAGCCCATCATCGAGACTACCGTGTACAAGAGTTATACAGGCGATATGCGTGTTATGATGTAACTTTCGTTTTAATGTCTCTATTAGACAGACATAATATCCAGGACGATATCTTGTCAAATGAAAAAGGACAAATGAACAACCAACTTTTTCTACAGAATAGGTAATAACTCAATAAAATTTCTCCCAGTTGTAACTTAGCCAATAAGGTGTTTTCTTCATAACCCAAAATATCTGCACTACAAGAATAGGCGATGAAAAACCGGTGATCGAAAAATTAACATTAGGTGTATATCGACCGAAGCTTACAAATCAACACAGAAGTCAGGTAATGTGTGGTTTCTTCTTGTGTCCTCAACGAGTATGGTTTTTTCCACATCATACAAAATCGAGTTAGCATAATTTCTAAGCGGATGCTGAAAAGTTATTGGACAAATATTATGTTACTCAGATGATTATCATTAATAAAGAACTACTTATAAATCTCAACATCGTATCAACGATTACGGTAGACACTGTACTTCGTTCACAGATGCACTGGTATGTATCTACAAGTCCATAGAAAGAAGTAATCGAGGTGTGTACTTGGGCATGGTAGCAAATGTACTGAAATAGTCATTATTTTTTTTATCTAATTGCCTTTTCACACGAAAGGCTTTGGTGTAAGTAAGTCTGTGATTAGATTACTCAAAATGTATTAAATACACTACGTCTCTCAGATCAGTCCTATCTTATGATTATTACCTATTCAACATTTTTCGAACGGATTAATGCTTGAGTGAACGAATTTAATGTGAACTCTAATAACACCTGACTTTAATCTTGCTACTTCATATCGTGCCTAGACACTTGGAAAAAAAACTCAAAGAATAAATCGTCCTATTCAGTATGACTTTAATCGTAGATAAATCTAATCAACGTTTCATGGATTCCACTGTTGATTCCTATCCACTAGTGTTGTAACGCTTGCTTAAGATAATTCCCGGCTAAATCTTATTGCTTAGTATTCTTGACACAAAACACTGAACAAGTCCCCAAATCAAAACACGGTTGAGCAGGAAGGATTGTATTCCAAAATAGCAAGGAATAAGAAGCCGGAGGTGATGGCGAAAGCCAAGGCAAAGAAAGCAAGAAGACAAAAATAAACACAACGCCAGTCTATTTATAGCATTTACATGAGAAAGCTTCTGGAAGAAAATTCACGTGATCGGCTGGATTAGATTTAACCAATCAGCATGCAGCTAATAATACGAGAATTTTCTATCCTGTTCTCCAAGCTTCGATCAGGCGCTGATTGGATAGAAATTTAGCCGACCGAATACTACAACAACAGCAAGTACAATTAGATGCACAAATGCGGTTGTTGGAGACCCTAACTCAACAGCTCAACATCCAGTGTTCGAGTCCACATACTATTTTAAATACGTCTTGTGAAGCAGTGGCAAACAGCATACCAGAATTCGTCTATAATCCTGAATGTGGAAATACTTTTCTGACGTGGTTCAAACGTTGGGAAGATACATTTAGAATTGAATTCGGTAAACAAGATGATGCATGGAAGACTCGGTTGTTGCTACGTAAGTTGCGAAGTAATGAGTATGCACGTTACGCTGACCACATACTACCGAAGTTACCTCGAGAGCTCAGTTTCGAGGAGACAGTAACTCAGCTGTCAGATATTTTCAGCGAATCATCATCATTGTTTAGTATTAGATATCAGTGTCTAAATCTGGTCAAACATGAAGATGATGAATATGCGGTTCTTGCAGACGTCGTCAACAGAGAATGTGAACGGTTCAAGTCACGCTCGTTGACAGAAGACCAATTTAAATGCTTAATATTCATCAAAGCTCTTCAGTCACCGCAAGATGCTGAAATCAGAACTAGACTTTTGATTCGAATGGACCAAGACCCGAACGTTACACTCAACATGTTGATAGATGAGTGTAAACGACTACAAAGTATCAAACACGACAACATTTTGACCGAACAGGTAAATCCCAATTTAACCAGCAGTAGTGTCAATGCTATTACTAGGTTAAAAGTCCAGAAGCCGATAGCACCAACAACTAGTATAGCTTCAAACCACTAATCTATCTATTACTATTCTGAGCTTTGAGTTTTTTTTTTATAATCTAGCAATAACCATAGATCTCAACATAAATTAATTTACATTTTCAATGTCATTATCAATTCAATAACACAGCCTCCTTTTGATTATGCATATTTTGATATCTTTTATTACGAATTATTATTATTACAGGTCAACAAAAACGATTCAAAAGAAGACATTGCCCATTGAATTGTTTATGTTTACCTTGAAGTTATTGCTTTATTGTTATTTTTCATTTTGTTCATTTTCACAATCCTGCAAACATGGATCCCTTCAAGTTCATTATTGCCAATGTCTTTCTTCTGAGGATTATTAAATTTTTCTTTGTTTTTTTTTTTCATTTTATATGATTGTTAATATAACTTTCATAGCAGAGTGACATTACTCTAAAGTGTTTGTTGTTGATTGTTGTAAGTATATATTGACGTTAAACTGGCAATGAATAGAAAAACATTCCTAACTATTGTGTTTTACTGCTATACCCAACCATCCTCCTTCTCCTTCTTCTTCATCATCTATTACTACTACTACAAGCTCTTAACAATCAACAATAAGTAGAAGAAAATAATTAGGGATCTTCTAGTGTAGTATTTCTTTATTTCAAAATATATAAAGAAAGAAGCCATAAATAATAATAATAATAATGATAATTTTTTTTTTCATTTATTTCTCAATTGAACTGTCAAGTTAACTTATTTCATAGTTTATCTTGTATAAATAATATAATCTCATATTAGATTACCATTATTGACATGTCGTCATATATTGAAATTTTGTAGAGATGTGTATGATTAGTTATAATGTAGTGAGTTGTTTTAATTGCTGCTTCATCGATATTAAGTAGATTTGTAAAGAAAAAAAAAACGGGTTTTTTCGTCGCTACTGTCTTTTTTTTTTTTTACTTTCTTACATATTTCTCATGATATATACATATTCTCTCTGTTCACAATGTGCAATATAATATTTAGAGTATTAAATAATATTGATTATTGCTTTATAGTTTTCTTACTAAAAAAAATAACTAAACAGTAGTATAAGAAAAACAAGGGAAAATACTAATCTCTTAGTTATATAAGCCCGACCGTAGCTGCTACCTTGACGTGGTGGTCGGGCTTGCCTATCGTGATGACCCAACCGAGCTATACTGGCTGGAACATATGTTCCTGCAGGTCCTACCATGCCAGGCAAGTCGATTGGAGAACGTTGAGACTAAAAGCATCTACCCAAGGTCTGAGGGTGAAGTCGTACTGCTGACTGCAGAGGGGTGTGACAGCAGTAAGGTGTTTCCCTCGGACGACCAGCATCTGCAGCGATGCTGCCTTCTCACAAGGAAGGAAGGGTTAGAAAAGGTCGGCCCTAAAAATGTCACACCTCCCCTAACTCACGGATTTCCGTCTCCTTGGGTAAGGGTGCCCACTAAGGGCCTTTAAGAACGGAACTAGTGATAGGGAGTGAAGTAGTCGAGCGTGTTGACCGCTTCACTTATCTTGGGAGTCTCATCAGTGCCGATGGCCTGGCGACTGACGAAATCTCAGCACGGATACAGAAGGCTCGATTGGCTTTTGCCAACCTGCGTCACTTATGGCGTAGGCGTGATATCCGTTCTCTAATCAAAGGACGAGTGTACTGTGCAGTGGTTCGCTCCGTTCTCCTATATGGCTGTGAAACATGGCCAGTGAAGTAGATGATGTTCGTAGGTTACTGTTTTTCGATCATAGGTGTCTTCGAAGCATTGCACGTATACCGTGGGACAACCGAGTAAGCAATGCTGTCGTTAGGAAACGGGTGCTAGGCAAGGATGGGAGAGCAATCGATGAAGTGGTGAGACTTCACCAGTTGAGGTGGTTGGGACATGTGTTGCGTATGCCTAACCACCGACTGCCTCGACGAACTTTGTGTTGTAGTGTAGGAGTAGGTTGGAAGAAAGTTAGGGGCGGCCAAACCAAAACATGGCAGAAATCCATGAAGTCATTGACAAGTGGACTGAGCCATGTCGCTAATTGTCGACTACTTGGTTGGGGTCCGCGAGAAGATAATAATCGATGGTTAGAGACCCTGAATGACATGGCTCAAAATCGTTCGCAATGGCGCCGGTGCATTTATTCTGTGTGTTCTCTCAAATCCTAATCTTCTGGATTCTTCAACACCTCTAGTTTCGACTCTCTGAACTTTTCTCACTGAATCATACTTCTTGAATAGTATCTTCTAACCCTAACCTCTCTGATTACTTCTAATTCCCTTACTACCTCTACTACTATTGGATTTGAATTGACAATTATATCTCTGTGCTGATGTGGTATGGCAACATGAACTGATGTACTTACGTACCAAGTTCTACGTTGCATCTGACTGACTGACTGACTTAGTTATATAAGACGTTTTTTAGCGAGTTAGTTTTCTACGGTATGGGGTCGCCATTAGCACAGGTGTATCTATTCTTTGTACTCTCCCAAATTCTAATCTAAACTCTTGATGACCTTCATCTTTCTTGTTTCA